AAAAACAATTGTTTGCTATTTCTTTTGTAGCATTGATTAACAGTATTTTGTTTCAAGGAWGAAGTGCGTTCATTAACCAAAAATTCAATATGTGTACCAAAATATGTTATGCAAAGTAATGAAAGTCCAGTTCATTCACAAATATTTGGAATTTGAAACCGAATTGTCCAACTTATTAGTGTCCAATTTCGATTTTAGGGACTGGTCATAAAGTATGGGGGGAGAGAGGGGGTTGTAAAAATCTGTGGTGTTCATGATAAATTATCTCTGACCCATCCAATACATTTGCACCAAATTTCATGAGCTACCCTGTTGTTGAATCATCTCTAAAAATGAAATGTATGTTGATCTGTGCGGTTGTTGCACTCCCACTTCTTGTTTAAAGGGTTCAATTGTTTCTTTTTCGTTATTTTTCAAATGCTTTCATATTTTAGGGGGGACTAGTGAACACCAAAGCTTGGTGTGCTAAGGGGGGGGGGGGCGGGAGTGCTCCCCCAGGAAATTTTGAAATGATAACTTAATCCTTGGTGCGAGAAAGAAACCAAAGACAATTATATTTAAAAAAATCCAGAAAATGTTTTAAATAATGTTAATATTTCCTTGCCACTAGTACGAGCATGCATATATGCTTTAGGGCATTACGGGCCTGTGATTGTTTTATGCGTTTCTTTTAACAAAATATAAAGAACCGTTGTGAACTAATTTAAGTCATCATTTAAATAAATAATTGCTTTTGATTTAGATATGTAACAGCTGTTTTTAATTTATACTGATTGATTCTGCGATTTTCCCAATGGTGTTTGCTATTGTCATAATCACAGTAAAAAAACATTGCACAGAAATTGCATGGCCCTCACCTTAAGTGATGCATGATATTATTTTAGCCCACCCATTTTTAGGTGCATGGAAAACCCTGTTCCATCCCCAGATACTTTATGACCAGTCCCTAAGCTTTGCACATATTTATATTTTCAGTGGACGATGCTTGTGGGTTGCAAGTGCATAATTTATAGCTACATTCTTTAAAGACATTACAAACACCACAACTGTGTTTACATAGCTTGGTGACCTAGCCACACCAAATGTATGTGGTGTGATCCAACGCATGCACATGCACATGCAACTACTACATAACCATACAATACTTTTATTAGCCATATCAATAGAGCGATATCACATAAGCAATGTTTTGCATGCAATTGAGTTTTTCGAGTAAAATAGTATGATAATGAAGTGCTCACGTGCCTACATCCTTCAGTGAAACAAACTTGAAAAGCGTTGAAGCAACTGATTTTTATTTTAATTATATTCATTTTGAAGATAGAAATTTAGACAAAATAAAGATCGATGTAGTTTCTATCATCCAATTCAACTTTTTGACTTCCATTTGTGACTTGATATCCGTAAAGAGACCTTTCACCTTATATCATCCATGATCTCCTACTTTGGAGCGTCTTTAATCGATTTTTTTCGCAGTGCTTAAAATTATTTTGAAAATTACTCCAAACAAGGATTTAGGTGCAATTTAATATCTTGTTGTTTTTACAGACATACAAAAACTCACTTATGGCACTATCAGCATTATTAAAAAAAGCAGTTAACCAAAATACTACGCCCAACGTGGGGCTCGAACCCACGACCCTGAGATTAAGAGTCTCATGCTCTACCGACTGAGCTAGCCGGGCTTGACGCTGTGAGACTTTGATAAAAATTGATAGGTTAATTGCCGGATTAATAAGTTGAATCGCATTGAGTATTTGCCTGCGCATATTAAACATAAAAGACAGAGCCTCGAGGTTCTCAACCGATCTGTTTTTGAGTGGGGCATATTCGACTGGTAAATCGTCTGAAGAACTTGATAAGCCTAATGTGAGACGCATGGAATTCATCTCCAAAGAGAAAAGCTCACTAACGCACTTAATGAATAGACTAACAAATTAGTATATATTCATACTAGCATTGCTGTCATATTTGCTATCGGACCTATCGCCTTATTATCAGCATTGTCACCTATAACGTTATCTTAATATCTTTACAGACATACAAGAGCTGATGCGGATTCARATAGAGAATATGATTGGAGTGTATATCGTTCTTGGCGCGGGAGGTGTCGTTGGAATAATATTTATATTMATTGAAAAATGGTGGGCTAACCGACGGGCAAAAATACAAGAAAAAGTTCGACAAGGWTGGACTGTCGTGAAAACCACCACTAAACTCATGAAGTAAGTTGTTTTTTTTTTTTTAATTTTATGAAATTTTATACAAAATATAGCAACTCAATCACTCAATCAGTATTGATAACAAAATCGGTAGAAGTACATAACTGTACTTCTGAAATCGGTCAACCAAAATCCTTCGCCCAACGTGGGGCTCGAACCCACGACCCTGAGATTAAGAGTCTCATGCTCTACCGACTGAGCTAGCCGGGCTTGCTGAAATGATAACTTCATAAATATTGATACGTTGCCGGATTGATGAGTTGACCATTGATGAGCCTCAACCTTCTCAACTGATTCGTTTTTGAGTGCRGCATATTCAAGCGTTTGAAAAATCTTATTGCTAAACCTTATTTGAGCCATATCAACTTGACCGATCCCGATCCATTGTCCTACCTCCCTAGTTACTGTTGCTACGTTGGACAAGCCGCGGAAATATTCCTTTGATTTAGAGCATGTAAAAGATACCGATAGCTGCGATATGTAGGAACTTGCCTAATTGTGTTTTATTTGTTTTTTGTTTTACATTTTCATCAGGAAAAGCTAATGAATTTAGTATAAAGATGTTCGATTTTGTGTCTGTTGCTCCATCGGACAGTTTCTTCAATTTCACAGAGAAAACTGCTCATTTTTGGTGATTAATCTATGTGAAGAAGRGATCGGTGAATTAATTCCGAAGACAAAAGTTCACTAACGCGCTCAATGACTACTAGATTAAGAATTCAAACAAAATTTTACGCCCAACATGGATCTAAAACTCACGATCCTGAGATTAAGAGTCTTGTGCTCTACCGACTGAGCAATCCGTGCTTCATGCCTACTTCATGCATACTAGTATGTTACCGGTTTSATTAGTTGATCAATTGAATTGACTGATCTGTTCCACAAATGCACCATGAATGTCTAATGACCATTTTTTTGCCCATTTGGTAAAAGCAGAAATGTAAAAAAATGAATTTTAATAGACGATTAAAACATTCATCTTCTATTGATAGAATAGCCTATTCTTGAATGGGAAAAAATCTGCACCCGCATAAACACAAATTATTTACAGGTTGTTTCAAGCCTTATAGATTTCATACTAACCTAAAAAAACAGCTAATGCTACAACTAATGGATATTTCTTTGAAGAAATAATACTTCAATATGATAATTAATGATAATTTGTGATGGTATCTTAGGCTTAAAAAGACGCCGATTGACGCTGAGACAGTTGTTGAAGCTTTCCAAGTAAACATACCTACAAAAACCAAAATGAGACCGAAAATACCCTGGGATTTGCCAYCAGAGAAACGTGCATCCAATGACGCCAAAGATGCTGGTGAAACCAATGAAGGGTTTGAAGACCTCGAGGCCAATGAAACAGACTCACCAAGGCAAAGTCCTTCACTCAATAAAGCTAACCCTTGGGGCATACCTTTAAAATCTGATAATAGATCAACTCAACCAAAACCTCAGTTCCTGGGATTTGAAAGAAAGAAAGCAGACTCACTTGCGTCAATTGATAGTCGACAGTCGAATCCAAGTAGGAAAAATTCACGAGTTTCTTATGTAGAGATTGTGTCTACAAGCGATATAATTCCTGCGCCTGCAAAGCAAGATTCGTTAGAAGAATTGGCAGACCTTGTGGAGCCYGCATCAGCAACRGACAGTTCAGCAACGTTAACTAGTACTACAGAGAGTGAGCAGAGCGTCACCACATCAGACAAAACGAAGCTTGCAATCAACAATAAAAAGAAGGTTAAGACTTCTGAAGTGAATGCAGCTTCTTTGAAAGATCAGACAAAGAAAAAAGACAAAAAGAAGAAGAAGAATGCACATAAGATTGAAGTAAAACCGGCTGACCAGGAATAACTGCAACACTTTATCCAATGTTTATTTATTATAAGTTTGGTAAATTTGAAAATTTGAGTGCAAAACTGTGTACAGTGTAGTGATTTCCACTGGCTACAGGTCATTGTATTAATCAAATTCAACAATTCATTGTATTCAAAATGT